TGCTGGAGGTTTGCACGAACTTGAAGGATCTCAAGCAGGGGACTCTCGTCCACAAGGACGCCGTCGGCGAGGGGCTTGACAGGGATCCAGTGGTGGCCAACGCGGTGGTAAACATGTATGGGAAGTGTGGAGAGCTCCAGCACGCCAGGAAAGTTTTTGATCTCCGGAGTGACAAGCAGAGGGTGGTGTCGTGGAACGGGATGATGGCGCTCTACTTGCAGCACGGACAGGGTGAAAAGGCTCTCGAGCTCTACAAGACGATGAGCGTGGAGGCCGACGAGCTGACTTACGTGACGTTGCTGGCCGCGTGTGGCAGCGTTGGCGACGTTGAAGAAGGCCGCAGAGCTCACGCGAAGATCACTGCCAGTGGATTCGAGGCTGTTCCGGTGGTCGCGAATTCGCTCCTCAGCATGTATAGCAAGTTTGGGCGGTGTGACGAAGCGAAGGTGGTGTTTGAGAAGATCCAGCGGAAGGAAATAGGGGCTTTCAACTCGATGATCTCGGCACTGACAGAACACGGGAAGTTTGAGGAGGCTCTCGGCTTCTTCCCGCTCATGGACATAGATGGTGTGAGGCCGAACGACGTGACTTTCATCAACGTGTTCTTGGCTTGCAGCCATGCCGGACTGGTTGACAAGGCCTGGGAGCTGTTCCTGTGCATGGTCGAGGAATGTGGGATCGAGCCTTCAGAGAAGCACTGCGGTTGCGTTGTGGATCTGCTAGGACGGGCTGGGAAGCTAGAGGAGGCCGAGAAGTTTATCGCGAACATGGAAGCTCGGCCGGGGGCTGTGATCTGGATGACACTCTTGGGTGCGTGCAAGCTCCACGGAGATGTCGATCGAGGGAGATTTGCAGCAGAGAAGGCTATCGAGATCGATCCTGCTGACTCCGGGCCTTACGTTGCATTAGCGAGCATCTTCATGGCAGCCGGTATGAAAGACGAGGCTGATAAGTTGAGAAAGCGGCTTAGCGAGCAGCAGAGAAGGCTTAAGCAGTCTCAGATACGAGAACAAGGCGTGGAATTTACCAGAGAAGAAGGATAAGCTTGAGGATTTACAAAGACCAACAGGTTTGCAGCTCTTTTTTCGCTAACGTCCATTTGCTGACGACGATCTCGCAGCTTTTTCTCCAGATTCAACGAATGATCGGGCTAGCGGACAATCGAGCCAACGAGAAAAAAGGCAGAACAAGTTGGGAGGTTCAGCTCTCCGTGATGGACTGGTACGAATCAACTCGAGATGTAAGTTTACAATCAATCAAAGAGAGACATTTTCTTTTTCTTTTCTCTTCAGTTCTTTTAGAAGTCCATGCTTTCTTCCAAGAAGGGCCTTTGATTGGTAACTGGCATTGATTCCAGAGGGAGGGATGACGAGGGCCCTGAGTACTTCCAGAGGCCAAATAGAATAAAGCACTGGCAGAGCGAAAAAGGGCCGAGTTCTTACAATTTGCTGCTGCTGCAAACTGTGAAGTTCTTACGTATGCCAGAACGGGGCATATGTAGTACAGCAGTTGCAACAGGAGCCCACTAGCAAAAGTTTTATAAAAAAAAATTAGAATTTCAGTCTGTTTCTTTTTTTCTTTTTCTTTCTTTACTTTTCTCGAGCAAATTATAAAAATGTGATGGGATTTTCTTCCTAGGGAACGTGGGTGAGCAGCTTTTTTGTTTGTTTTGGTCTTAAAAGTGCTAAAAGGAAAAGTAATGATAACTTACTATTTCTAAATAATTAACAACGGAAAGGAGACCAGCTTTGCTTGTTTGTCTTGGCATTTGGGATCACAGGCCAACCAGCAAGATCATACATAATCATCCACACAAAATCCACAAACACCCCTCCTTGATCTCATGAAGCGCGGCAGCTTGGGTTGGCAAAATCATTCATCTAATATGCATGTGCCAGGGCTACAAGGTGCGATCTCCCCTCCACACAAAAACTTTTGCCTTTGTTCCCCGACAAGGCCGCTTGATTGCTGCTAAACAATGCGAGCACGGATCCAGATCTCGGCGAGTTTATGATCTCCCGCTCTAGAAAATATGGCGGGATAATCCCTTTGTCTTGTCAAGGGAGGTTTCTACAATCAATGTATAGTCTAAAAGGTTGTATTGTTTTCCTTGTTCTCTAGATAGATGCTAGAGAGAACATCATGCTGCCAGAGAAACATCATATTGTTCTGGCTTGCTGGACGATTGGGCCATCGAGACACTCACGATCAGTCACCGCTCGCTTGCAAACAAACATACAAACAAAAACTGTGCAGGGGGAACAACTTGTGTCTCGTTTCGCTACATTCTTTTCATTGTGAACTTTCTCTCTTGTTTTTTTCCTCTTTCCTTTTTTTTTTTTTTGTGGCGTTTTTGGAATTCTGAAAAAGTTTTGCTTGGTAGGACCATTCACGCCTTTGCCTTGTCTGATACGAAGCTCTAAAGTCTTTATATCAAATTTTACAAACAGAAACACCGGTTTTTTTTTTATTTATGTATAAAAGATATGTATATATGACCAAATCTTTTAGCTTGTTATACATCTCTCATTTTAGGATCGCTGCCCGCCACCAGTATCAAAACAACGCTCCACCGAGCCCCTTGCACCTGCCATGCAAATATGTGGAGATTCTATGTGATTATTCTAATGTTTTCCCTGGGCTGCCAATAGTGGACAAAAAACCATTAAAACAGCCACAACAAACCATCATATTCTAGCAATTTTTAGCTATACAAAATAATAAATATTTCTTTAGCCTTTTTTGCGAATTAAGAATTCCAAATGTTGATGCAGCGGCCATCATGGCGTGGCTTGTGCCGCTGGGTTCAGACGCGTGCCTATAATATATAATGTTTTGGGCCCAAAGCTTATCCATCCCATCCATTTCGTTTGTTGCAACCCACGACCATGTGAAAGGGTAATAGACGCTCCATTTGCATTTGCATGCTGGGGATTTGGACAAACTGGGGAAAAGGTGGTAAAGGTGGTGCGCATAAGGGCATTAAGTTTATATAGAACCCGATATGGTGATCCATTGAGGAAGAAAAGCCCTCGCACAAACTCCGTGGAGATACAACTTGAGCAAAGGAGCGACGGTCTCTTTCGGGATTCTCTCAGAGATCAGTCAGCTTCAAAACCTCTGTGCATTTTCCATTAAGGATTTCTGCTAGCGATGAACACGTGTTCTTCAACTCAGGGTTAAACAACTTACAAGAAAAGCCATAATATTTTCACTTGGGTTTTCTATCGACAATCACATACTTAGTTCTGGCTACAGAAACTCGATGTTAAGTGTGCAATGAAGGCGTTTTTTGCTCCAGCTGGAGAGCAAGACCACTGACGTGAAACTTTGAGAGAGGGTCAGCTCGATCGTTCAAGGGCTATTGATCATAGCATTTGTATAGAACAAAAGCATGGTGAACCGTACAGAATTGTCAACGTTTGAGAGTTTCCAAACAATGCCCCTGATGGTTGAGCCAGAGAGAGGACGACTTTCTCCTAGCTATGCTAGGAGAAAGCTCCGCAATAAACAAATGGGCAAAAGTAAAGCTCGATGTCAAGCACAAGAAACTTTGAGAGGAGCGTGGCCTGATCTGAAAATATAATTCTTCTTCTTCTTCGCCTTTCTCTTTTCCTCTCAGCAGCATCAGCAGCAGCATGCAGCAGTGACTTTAGCCTCGCTTTGGCGTGCACTTGGTTTCTCCTTCCTTCACATGAGCAGCAGGAAGGATCTAGAGCCCAAAGCCCAAAGCGATAAAGAAAAGAGAAAAGAGGAAGACAATATTAGAGCGCTGAAGACCATTGCCATAGGAAACACAACTCAAATAATATAAATACTATCTCTCAAATAAGTTCTTCTCGATATGTCTGCGTAGAGCTTCCATGAAAATTTGTACATGGTAAACGCGCATAATTGAAAACTCAACAAAGCCTGCATTCTTGCATCCACAAGTCTCATGCTTCACATTGGCCACCACAAGACTATCAAATAATTCTTGCAGCGCGCAACTGGGACGCATGGGATCAAAGTAGCATATAGATAAACAGATAAATAAGAGAGAATATTATAACTAGCTTACAAGACTAATAGCATCACCGTACCAATATACTATGGAAGTATTTATTTGACAAGTTCCTCCACAGGGAACTTTGTCACTCTCAAAGAAAACATTTGCATCGACCTCTCTTCTTTCTCGCTTTGGAGGGTCCACTTGTTTGTGTTTATACTAGTCTGTCACATGGGACAAGGAGATGGCCTAGAGAGCAAGCACATGGAATCGTTGCCATGGTTTAGTACTCGTCGCTGGAGACTTTGGCCTCAAATGAAGCACATGGAATTGTTTGGGAGCTCTCAGTTCCAGCATACTCCATCCAGATTCAACACCCAAGACAAAACAAATGTAGTGGAATGTCTCGATGATCTTGCGATGAGGTTTAGCATTTGTACTTAGCCAAATAAATATAAAATATAAATTTCTATGTGTTTTTTGTTGAATATACTCGGACTTGGCTCTTAGTTCTCTTTGAAAACAATACAAAAAGGAATTAATTTAAAATTAAAACTAAACTCAAAGTTCACAATTAAATATAATATTTTATAATAATAACAATAACTATTATTATGATTTGCTGCCTTCTTTCTGTACATGCATTCCCAACTTAACATACATGACCGGACTGTAAGCTCTACCTTCCAGAAATACGTAATCTTTTGTAGGAGCACTTTAGCTTTGGACATATCAAAGATTAATAGTTGCTGATAGTGGAGGTGTCAGCTCCGCACCGTATTGGTTGGAGCGGTAGAGAGTGGGTTGTATAAATACGGGCCGTGATACACGTCGAAAGAATCAGCATAAAGTCAAACGCAGGCAAGGCAGCAGCTGGTATATACCCAGGCATCAGTATCAAGTCAATGTTTTTTAATGTTTTGATGTGTGCTTTTGCTCAGGAAAGAGCAGCAGAATCAAAGTGGGTGTAATTGTTGTTGTTTCAGGCCTGGGAATTCTAACAATTATCAGGTTTGATTAGTTTTGAGGGATAATCTTGGAGAGTTAAAATAGAAAGAGAGGAGCTCAAGGCTCAAAAGAGAGTCTTGAGGAGGGTTCTTGTTGTAAGAAACAAGAAGAGAGGAAGAAAGTGTGGGAATCCATGCACCAATTTTCCATTCTTTTCCATGGCCACACTCACATTGACTTGATGCTCCATTCAATCCTCCACACTCCCAATGATGGAGTGATTTCATTCTAGGCCTCACTCCAATCTCCTCATGATTTTGTGTAGCTCCATAGGACCAGGAGAAAGATCTTCAAGAACTTTGGTGGTAGACTCACTGGGTAGCTCCATAGAAGCAGGAGACAGATCTTCAAGAGCCTTGGTAGATTCACTGGGGAGGAAGAAAGAGAGGAGAGCTCTGTGAGGAAGGAAGAACTCTTTGGAGCAAAGAAAAGGAGAGAAGAGAGGAATCGATGAGCACTTGGATGGATACACCCTCTACATCCTCCCCGGAGAACTCTTCCCCTTCTTCTTCTTCTCCTTCTTCTTCCTCTCTCCGGGGATGGGCATCCAATGCCACCGTCGCAGTGGCGATGGCGATGAACCACAGCATCCCCGCGGGATCGTCTGGCAGCCCTGCAGGATCCAGCGTGGAGATGAGCGCGCGCTTCAATCCCTCCATGGCGATCATCATCGTGGTGCTGCTGGGCACATTCTTCTTCATGGGGATCCTCTCCATCTACGTGAAGAAATGCGTCACCACCGAGGCCGACCTGGAGCGCCACCAGATTCCAATCGCGAGCTGGACGATCGATCACAACCCGCGCTGGGTATCGCAGCGATCGTCCTCGGCCGGCGGCCTCTCGTCGCTGCTCCAGATCCAGCAGCAGCAGATCCACATCCAGAGCCAGCTGGGGCTGGACAAGGCGTCGATTCAAGCGCTGCCCATCGTCGTCGCCAAGCCCACCGCCAAGAACCCTAATCACGAGTGCTGTGTGTGCTTGGGGGAATTCCAGGAGCAAGAATTCGTGCGCCTCCTCCCGGGATGCGGCCATTTCTTCCATGTCGAGTGCATCGATCTATGGCTGCTCGCGCACACCACTTGCCCTCTCTGCCGATTCAAGCTCACCCCGGACAACGTCCACGCCGCCGGCGCCGTGGTCCTCGATGTCCCGCAGGAATCGCTGGAAAATCTGCCGCAGCAGCGGCATCGAGCGCCGGAATCCAGCCGCATTCGCTCGATCATCGCTAGGGTTTGGGGTTTCCAGGGGGAGCGCGCGCGCCGGGGGCAAGAATCCGCGAATTCGGCGCAAGACGATCACCAAAATCCACGCCAGGACGATCATCATCATCATCAGCAGCAGCAGCAGCAGCAAGATCACGAGCAGCAGCCGCAAGCCCACCAGGAAATCTCCGTTTCTCCCAGCGATGCATTGGAGCAGGGGAGCGTGGTGGATCAAGCACAGCTCCAAGAATGTGGGGACCAAGAACAGCAAGAACACCACCACAGCTTGGCACCCCTTTTGCTACTCAAGAAGGTATGGAATGTTTTTCGGTGCTGGAAAATGGGGAGATTGGTTGCAAGTGGGGGAATCTTTGGCAGCAGCAGCGGCAGCTAGAGAGGGATCCAATGCGATCCTCGCAAGATTCCTCGCAAGAGCAAGAACTATACATACTCCAAGAACAAAACCAAAAAAAAGAAGAAAAATTCGATCTTCGCCTTTCTTGGGCTCTTTGGCACAAAGGAAAGGAAGTACTCTCTCTCCTCTAGACATCCTTCCTGTGTATACGAGACGACTGTGATGAATTGGGCCGTATAGCAAGGGGGGGAGGAATTCGATCGATTGATCGTAGCTGGCCGTCTTTGCTTGTATAAAAGCCGACCATTTCTATCGTCCTGGCTTTGGTGCTTCTTTGAATTCGCCTGTGCCTTCTCTTTACTTCCACCTACATTTCGCTCTACGTAGCTCTAGAGCGACAAACGTACCGATTGGAACCCAGGATGGATCGAAAATTTCTCGTGCTCCGGTTCTAACACGCGAATTAGTGGTCAATCCAGGGGGTCAACCAGGTCCAAGTTTCTAGTCATCGGCTGCGGGTCTTTTGGATTTTGATTGTTTTTGTGCTCTGGTCGTGTCAGTCTCGCCATCCAGGGGAATTCAAGTGAAGAGCTCCAAAGTCTCTGTGAGAGTTTACAGCCAGCAAACAACAAAGGAAATCAAGGAAGTTTGGTGGCAAGTTGTTGATCCGAAGACAATTGACTCCCAAGTTTCTTGAGAAAGGTTGAAGTGATCTCAAGACCATGGTTATCTTATGATTCTGATTCTGCAGTTGTTTGAACTGAAAACATCAAAACAGCTCACTATAATCCGTCGGTCTCATGCTTTTTGGTGGGCGCTGCGAAACCTTGTAAACAGTTAATGAATGAATGAATGAACTTACATTTTAGATCTTAATGTGGGAGGATCCAAGATGAACACTCGAAGAAAAAGAGAAGAAAAAAAATTGTCCCAGCCATGATGCACCCGCTGTTGTGTACTTTGTCATCATGAAAATGGTACCAAGTACAAGGCAAGGTACAATTATGACATGGTTTGCTAGTTTTTTTTTTTCTCTCTATTTTTTTGTTTTTCTCCCTTGGACATCTTTGAGTTGTTTCTATCCCCTTGCATCTTTCGTTCATTGTCTTGTTTTCCTTGCCTCTCTTCGTTTTGAGGTACTCAAAAGAGAAAAGCATCTCTCCGGTTGAGTTTCCGAGAGAGCTTTGCATCGACAATTCATGTCAAATGAAATACCATTAGGAGTTCTAACATCTCAAGGCTTTGTCCTTTATAGCAAATCCTTGGATGTTTGTGTTGGCATTTCCCCGTTCTAGTACGAGTGAAATCAAGTAAGAACATGGTCTGTTAGGAGCTCATATGCAATGAAAACACGGTCTCAAGCTTTTAAGTTCGACTGGCAGATCATATAAACAGTGTAAAGTTTTGGATGTTATATTCAGAAACTTGTGTTGGCAATTGAAAGCAAGTTGACGGCTTTGCGAGGAGAGGCGCTGGGTGCTGGGCTGGGCATTGGGCCAGGCTAAGCTCTTTTACGAGCTGTTTTCTGTGATGTTGCAGCCACAAGATCGAGACCTCACAAGCTACGAAGATCTTGCAAGGCAAAAGCTTGACAGGGTCCACAGACGTGTCCGGCCCCAAACATCTTCAGCAGCAGCCTTGTGAAGCGTCTCTCGACCGTCCAAGCTCTACATCAACAGCACGTCCTCAAGCTCAGCCGCGATACATCCTCAACCTCAGTCGTGATGCCATAGCTCCAGCCACAATTTCAAATGTGACTGTCACCTCGTCATGCCACTTTAAAGTGCCAAAAAATGCACCACACACTCATCGTTTGACACAGTCCACCGGTCCATTCTCAATAGTCCGAGTGCGAGACCGGCTCAACCTCGCCCCCGGGACCCCAAGACGCCTAGGCCGGTTTCAACAAAACGAGCACCGTCCCCTGGCACGGACCGACACATCCGCGTCGGGCTCGCCCCCCCAGGAATCGAGTCAAACTCATGCTGAAGTCCTGACCTCTTATGCCTGCACCAAATTTGGCTACATAATAACTCGGATGGCACACTGACTGCCTGCTCTCTTGCCACGCTCAGCTACAACCTCGCGCCAAGATCGTCCTGTGTCGCTACTGTGTCTGGTTTGTTCTGCATGCCATTGGGCTCAATAGACATTCCGTCAGACAGTGCACTCACAGACTCCCCCATCCCCAAGACACAAGAGTGTGCCCATACACGCCGTCACACAACCTTTGGCCAACTCCAAGGCCACATGCCTCACGCCCTGGGCTGCACACGACAAGGTGACCCCCTTCCTAAGACAAAAGCGCATCAAAAGCTCTTGGCTCTTCAAAGCGACATCTCCTACCACCACCCCAGGGTGGCAGATCACCCCCGCGGCGACTTCCTCACCATCTTACCGATATCATGACACCAAAACTCGTCACAACACCAACAGGTGAGATCCACAAGAGCTCTTGCCCAATGTGTTCATTGCCAACTCTCACCGATCATGATTCAAGAATGGTGTCCCTGGCTGGTTGCAGAAATTCATTGCTGCGGCCGGCTTCCTCCCGGGCATTGCTGGCCCGTTCATACTTAGTATTTTTCTTCAGCCATCAAGCTCGTGTAATAAAAAATACCTGCAATTTAAAATTAAATTGGTTCAAAATGCATCTTATTTTCTTTTGAGTTCTATGTTCCTCAATTTATTTCCAGGCATGCTGAAACTTCTTCAATGGAACTTGAAAGCCCGAATGAACCAGTTGCCTTGGCGAATGATCCAGCTGACCCAGCTGGTAGTTTTCACAACATACTGCACTCTACATGCCGCTGTTGTGTAAGACACCGAAGGTGCAGAGCTACACCAGAAAGAAATAGAATGTATAGCTTCCATAGTACAAAGCCTGCAAGCAGCCTGATCGTTGCAAGTGAGAGCTCCAAACAAGTCACCATGCTGGGTGGTGATATTGCTTGAGGTGCGGAGCATATCATTCAAGGCTGCTCCAATAGCCCTGGTTGATGGATCCCAGACAGATAATTTTCCACAAGAGCATAATAACGTGTTCGCTAGGTAGCTCTTCCAGCAAAGTCCAAGAGCTGCTGGAGCTGGAGCTGGAGCTACAATTGGAACTGGAGCTGGAGTTGGAGGTTGAACTGGAGAAATTCTGGGAAGAGGATATTTCTTGGCTCCAACAATTGTGATTACGAGGGAGAGCGCTAAGAAAACTTTACCTTGCTCCATTGTCTATGAACTATGAACTGCCTGTTTTGACCTTGGAAACCTGATATATATATATATATATAAAAGTCCTGAAGGAGGCCTCGATATTTCCCCACCGGCTGGCAAATGATTTGAAGTAGACAATTATTTGACCACAATTATATAGGCTGGCAATTGTTATCTAGAAGCATATGAATTAACTATTAAATTAAGAACATCAGACTCATTCATACCTATACTTGTTTGCTTATAATACAAAAGAAACTTTAGAGCAAACTTTAATAATTATGGTCAAATCATTTGTCCACTTCTGATCATTTGTGGAGCCTTTCTCCTGACTTTTATATAAATTACTATCAGGTTTCCAAGCCCAACAATATAATAGACAATGGACCAAGGTAAAGTTTTCTTAGCGCTCTCCTTTATAATCACAATTGCTGGAGCCAAGCGATCTCCTCCTTTTAAAATCTCTCAAGTTCCAACTCCAGTTTCAGCTCCAGCTCCAGCAGCTCCAGTTCGCTGGGAGAGCTACCTGGCCAACACTTTGGTATGCTCTTGCACAAAGTTATCTATCTTGGATCCATCAACAAGTGCTATCGGAGCAGCCTTCACTGATATGCTCCACACCTCGAGCAATATCACCACCCAGCATGGTGACTTGTTTGGAGCTCTCACTTGCAACGATCAGGCTGCTTGCCGTCTTTGTACTTTGGAAGCTGTGCATTATATTCCTCTCTGGTGTGGCTCAGCAGCTTCGGTATATTACACAGCAGCAGCATGCAGATTGCAGTATGTTGTTGTGAGAAGTTCCAGCTGGATGGACTGGATCATTCGCCATGGCAATTGGTTCATTCGGGCTTTCAAGTTCTAAAGGTCCATTCTTAGTTGGCGTTATGGAAACAAATTAAAGAATGTTGAAGTGAAAGGAAAATAAGATTCAAAGTAAATTTTTTTACAGTAAAACATAATTTCTAGTAGAATAAAAATATTTATATTTTTTATTTTAAAATTAAAAGTAAGAAATAATAAGATTTTAACCAAAATAATCTGATATTTATCAACATAACTCATAAAATGTTATCGTCTGGATGTAGATGGTGGCACAAGCTGCAAGGTTGGACAGTATCCCTGGGCATCAATTAGCTACTAATCACAATGTTCCAATGGCATGGATGGAGCACCTGGCCAAGCATTCCACCACCTTCACTCACTATTTGAACATGGTGAACCTCAATATTGGCCCCTTGAAACACCTATTGTATTGTACGGGTCGCGGCTGTCTCTACTCTCTGGTCGGCCAATGGTAATCCCATGGGTTGCCAGGTCTGTTGTGAGGAGGTGAACACACCACACACTGGTGCTATATCTTTCGAACACATTTGCCAACGATTTCATCTTCCACTGGATGGTGTGGGCTTGATGGCCATCCTAATCCCCAAGCCAAAGCTATCCCAATGCCCAACTTGAAACATGAAAAGTTTATTAGCCGCAATCAAACTCCCATGCTATGGCACATAGCTTCCAAATCTTGACTCCATACTTAGGCTAGAATATGTCCATTTTTTTCTTCGTCTCTTTGAGGAGCAGTGAAGCACAGCATCACAACGGGATCGTCTGGCAGCCCCGGAGGATCCAGCATGGATGTGAGCGGGTACCTAGAGTACTCCAAACTCTTTCATGGCAGAAGGAATGTAGCATAGTATCGTAATCCCTCCATAGCGACCATTCTTCACGGATTTCACCGTGAAGAAATGCGTTCGCCAACCACGAGTGCTGTGTGTGCTTGGGGGAATTTCATGAGCAAGAATTCGTGCGCCTCCCTCCCAGAATGTTTCTTCCACGACGACTGCATCGATCTATGGCTGCTCGCGCGCACCACTTGCGCTCTCTGCCGATTCACCCAGACAACGTCCGCCGTGGTTCTCGATGTCCAGCAGGAATCGCTGGAAAATCTCCCGCAACAGATGGGAATCCAGCCGCATTCGGTCGATCATCGTAGGGTTTCCAGGGCCGGGGGCAAGAATCCACGAATTCGGGGCAAGACGATCACCAAAATCCACGCCAGGACGATCAGCAGCAGCAAAATCACGAGCAGGAGCTGCAAGCCCACCAGGAAATCTCTCTACTTCTCCTCCTAGTGCCATTTGTCATTGGAGCAGGGGACCGTGGTCCGGATCAATCGACACCACCACAACTTGGCAGCTCTTTTGCTACTCATGAAGGTATGGAATGTTTTTAGGTGGGTGGCAAGTGGCACTAGCAGCAGCTAGAGAGGGATCCCATGCGATCCTCGCAAGATTCCTCTCAAGAACAAGAACAAGCAAACCATACATACTCCAAGAACAAAAAGAAAAGAAGAAAGCTCCCTCCTCCTTTCTTGGCTCTTTGGTACAAAGGAAAGGAAGTACTCTCTCCTGTATACATCATCGGTTGGTTCTTCCTGTGTATACGAGATGACTTTGATGATTGGTACCGATTGGAACCCAGGATGGATCGAAAATTTCTCATGCTCCGGTTCTAACACGCAGGGGTCAAACAGGTCAAGTTTCTGGTCAGCGAGTGTGGGTCTTTTGAATTTTGATTGTTTTTGTGCTCTGATCGTTTCAGTTTCGCCATCCAGAAAATTTGAAGTGAAATGCTCCAAAGTCTCCACAGCCAGCAAAACAACGAAGGAAATCAAGGAAGTTTTGCTGATATTGACTCCCATGTTTCATGAGAAAAGGTTGAGGTGATCTCGAGACCAAGTCTATGATTTTGCATTGCTGTTTGAACTTACAGCCTATGTTTTCCAGATCTTACTAATGTGGGAGAAGAACACTCGGAAGAGAAAAAGAGAAAGAAAAAAAAAAAAACTGTCCCAGCCATGATGCACAGTACTTTGTCATCATAAACATGGTACCTAAATTTTCACATGGTTTGCTTCATTGGGTGGTTTTATTTCTCTATTTTTTAATTTTTCTGCCTTGGACATCTTTGAGTTTTTTCTATCCCCTTGCATCTTTTGCTCATTGTCTTGTTTTCCTTGCCTCTCTTCCCCAGCTGAGTTTTGAGGACCGAGAGAGCTTCGCCATTTGCGTGGAACTTCATGTACAGGAAAGGAAACACCAAGAGTTTAAACACTTCAAGCTCTGCACGAACATAGTAAATCCTTGGATGTTGTTGATTTCTTGTGTTTTGATTGCATATGAGCCACTAGCAGACCATCTTCTTATTTGATTCACTGTACTAACAGGAAATGCTAACCCCATTTGCCTCATGCTTCTTAGAGGACAACTGGCAGATTATACCAGCTAATGTTGCTCCGCTCTTGTCGCTAAAAGACACGTTAAAAACCTTTAGATAATTTGTCTACTTCTGATCATTTGCCAGCCGGTAGGGAAATATCAAGGCCTTCCTCCTGACTTTATATAAATTTCAACCAGGTTTTCAATCTCAAAACAATTAAAACAGTTCACAGTTTCATAGACAATGGAGCAAGGTAAACTTTTCTTAGCACTCTCCCTTGTAATCACAATTGCTGGAGCCAAGAGATATCCTCCTTCCGAAAATTCTTTAGTTCCAGCTCCAGTTCCAGCTCCAATTGCAGCTCCAGCTCCAGTTCCAACTCCATTTCTAGCTCCATCTCCAGCTCCAACAACTCCATTTTGCTGGGAGAGCTACTTGGCGAACACTTTGATATGCTCTTGCACAAAGTTATTTATCTGGGATCCATCAACAAGTGCTATCGGAGCAGCCTTCACTGATATGCTCCACACCTCAAGCAATATCACCACCCAGCATGGTGACTTGTTTGGAGCTCTCACTTGCAACGATCAGGCTGCTTGCAGGCTTTGTACTTTGGAAGCTCTACGTGCTATTCGTTTTTGGTGTGGCCCTGCAGCTTCGGTATCTTACACAGCAGCGGCATGTAGAGTGCAGTATGGTGTTGTGAAAACTACCAGTTGGGCCAGCTGGATCATTCGCCAAGGCAACTGGTTCATTCGAGTTTTCAAGTTCCATTGAAGAGGTTTTAGCATTCTTACCCCCTTATGATATGCTTCAAAAAATCATTTAGTTTTTGGTAGAAGAAAACATAGGAAGTGTGTTGGAATAAAAAATAAACGTAATGGGTGCTAAATTGATTCCATTTTATTTTAACACAACCACTATATATAAGTAGAAATTTCATACCATTTTGATCTCTGAAATCTATCCATGCCACACGCAAAATAGTGATCTCTCACTTGCTTGTTTGTCCATGACGACCCAATTGGCCTGAGAATCCCATCGACCTATCCCCTCCTCCTTCGCTTTGACTATGAGAAAATAATGATCAACACTTGCTGTGATGCCTGTAAAGGAACACATACACAGTTGAGTTTTTCTAGCCTTTTGTATCTAAACTAATAAATTAACATGGGGCTGGCAGAAAAAAAGGCTAAATTTCTGATGATTAGATTTAATTTATTTGAGCACAGTTGGGTTATATCTGAACATGTATGATATCATAAGGCCCTTAGTTTACTTTTTTGGCCTTGAAGACATATAAAGATTTGGTTCTTGTTGAACTCGAAAGAAAAATGAGATTCATGGATTGTTGTTTTTACCACAACAAAATGCTAATAATCTTTTATTCCTTTCCTTAATTTGAACTTCAATTTTCTTTCATCAAAGATATCTAGAATATGCCTGGGTATTCTGGCATATTCTATCTGGTTTAGTCTTTCTTAAACACCTCCAGATATATTTTAGCTTATTCATGGTTGATTGAAACTAGATTAATATTTTTTTATAAGGAAGTTTTATAATTTAGTAAATTTTTTATAATCTAATCTTAAGATGGTTTTTTAAAAAATCTAGCTTTTTCCCAATCACAACATGGCTTTTTAATCTTGAGTGGTTTTTATGGTAAAAGCTACATAACATGGTATTTTACTGAGTGGTGTATATATCAAGTGGCTTTTGTAATTGAATTGTGGTTTTTTTATAGTGTTATTGTGGCTTTCAATAGTAGATTTATTTTTGCTTGTAGCTTTTGATAATGACAAATTGAATGACTAATGAAAGATGATATGAAAATTAAATGTGGCTTTTTTAATGGTTTTGCTGTCAAATTCTAAAATGGTTGTGTTGTCAAATTATTATGTTTTATAGTATATAAAACTATTTTAAATTGGATTAGAAATTATGAGAAACATATCTAAAGCAAACCAAATAAATTATTGATATTAGAAAAAGGGATTAAAATTAGAATATTTCTTTCTATAAAAAGAATAGAATGCAGAATATTCTTTATAATACTGATAGATTGTGCTATACCATAGAACGTAAACTAAAAATACAGATTTTAGTGAATAATGATTATTAACTTAATATTCATTTCATTAGGTATTTGAATAATTTATTGTGATGTGCATTAACACTTGCTTGCTTTGGATTTTGATTTTTACTATTATTCCATATAAGAAGCTGAAATACTTGTTAGGCATATTTCTACTACTAAATTAACTTTGTATAGATCAAATACCATAAGATATGACTTCTTGATTTCAACTATATAGCTTTTGCTGGATTGTTCAAATTGTGGCATGTCTAGCATAATGGTTAAAAAAGGCAAGGAGATGGAGCTTGTAATCCTATGTGGTCTGTTATGTAGCTTGTAATAGCCATGGTAGTTTTGAAGCTATGATGGGAGTTATTCATAGGGGAGCCTATCACTAATGAAATTGTGGAAGCATGGTGTTAATCTCCTTTGTAAGTATGGTATATCTTTAACACACCTCTATATACTTAGAAGTTTTAAAAGCTGCACTAATAAAAAAATAAATTCTTATTTGACTATAGATTTCTAACATACTTGTTTTCAAATGACATTGTGAAAAGTTTAAAATGTATATAGGTATGAATTTCTTTAGCCAATTGTTAAGAAATTACAAAGTTATCAATACATTTTATTTGAGTATTGACATTGTTAATTCAGATCATCCTAAAGAGTTTTCAATTGAATTCTTAAATTCAATCACTCCATCCAGATTACCACCATACAAATTGATTCTAAAAAACATAATGCCATTTTGATTCTTCTAAGGAACATATCTCTATAAATTGGTTTATGTAATGACACTTGTCTTATTCTTAGACAAACACTATAAAATGTATTAAAATTGTGAAATTATCACAGGACAATAAATGCCATAAAATTTTATCCCATGAAATGTGAAAAAGGCAATTTTTAATTCGTTTGGGGTATTACCTAACTTTTTCTAAAGATCAAGATTAAAAATTTAATTGTGTTGAAATTTAGCTTCTACAATCATGGCCAACTTTATGTTACTCCCTCAAGGTGCTCTTCACCTGAACAACTTTGTATTTAACCCCTTTTCAAGGTAATCTTATATTGCATAATCAACACTTCTATATAATGAACATAATCTACACTGAAATACTTCAATAGACTTGAATTTATAAGTTGCATCGATCCAGCCAAAAAGTACTATCAAGAATCTTATTTCTTAAATGTTAAATTTCTATACCTTCAACAAGGTATGTGATGCCTCTATTATACAGCTCCATCACATCACTTTAGAGTTTGGAATTAACAATACTATAGCATTACTCTGGTGAAGCTATTACAACCTCGCAAGATAAGCTCAAATTGCAATTTGAGCCAGAGGAATTAATCCTAGTGCAGCCTTTCCATAGCAACTTTGGAACGAGTTTAGAGCTTTAAAAAGCATAGAAATGGTGTTAATGGTTGAAAGTTTTGCCAATTGCCTAGCATTTGCTGAGCAATTACTAGTGTGTAAATAAAATGTGATTGTGTGCAATTGAAAACAAAAAACTATATCCACACATATGTAAATAACACATATTTCATGTTTTGTTAACTTAACTATCTTCAGTGTCGAGAAGCATTCTAAAAGGCTTTCAATGTGGCATCGAACAGCATCCATATGGATTATGAAAAGACCTGGCACCTCAGCCAAAGCTAGCACAGGATCAAAGAGAGAGAGCTCCAAACTTTTAGGGACGGATCGAATTAACAAAAGGATGGTACGGACGAGTGTGCCCCCAAAATATCGGTAAAATCTCTCATGCTGTAGGGTTTTTAGCTTATCCATGATATATGGAGCTTGAGGCCCCAAGGCGCTAGCGCGATCGTGGAGTTCAGGCATTTCGATCGATCGATCAGGTAATCCGCTGCATGATCGCGCACCAGATTCTGGAGTGTCGATCCTCATATTTCCTGAATCTCTTGCGCTTCCTGGCTAGGTCGATCAGCGGCGCCTCACATTTCGATCGATTCCCGATCGATTCCTCCATAATCTCTGGGATTTCCACGGGGTTTGGGAAGATTTGGGAGGAAATCGTACATGTCGTGTTAGTCGAGCTGTCGGTTTCTCTAGGAACTGTGTTGGACGCATTAGGCAAGGCATCTTAGTCGCAGGATCGACGACGCGAGAGTTTTCTTTCCTTTTCTTTAGCGCTCGCGTGTGTAAGATGCGTGAATACACTTCAGGCTGGTGCTAACATCTTGGAATTCTTTGGAACAGGGCAGAGATTCTCTGGGAGTGATTGGAGTGTAGAAAATTCGCTCCTGGTGGTTGGAAAAGCTTGGACCGCTCTATTTCTATCGCTGCTCCTCCCCGACGGGGTTAGCTACGGCGCCTTCCTGTATGCAGTTCGAGCTCCTCCGGGTGACTATAGTCGAATGGCGAACGTATCCAAGGCGAATGCTGGATCTACTTGTTGCCAATCAGCAGCCCCCAGGTTGGAGCAGGGATCATCTCTTCGGGGGGAAGTCGTGTCTGGGATTTCTTCCTGGGCTGCTGCCGAGGAAGCCAGCATCGCTTTGAGTGCTCCAGAGAGCTACGCTTCTGTCGAGACTGTCAGTGAGCCTGTGAGCACCATCAAAGGTACCAAGAACACTTCTCGTGAAAGTCATTCTAGATAATTCGAGCTCATAATTGTTGTGCCGTGTTGCTGCAGCTCCTGCGGTGGTGCTTCTCAAGGCACAGCAGAGCCATCCTCTGGATCCGCTCAGCCCGGCTGAAATTAAAGTCGCCACCGAGACTGTGAGAGGTGCTGGAAAATCTGCTGAAGTGAGTGGCTCCTTTGTTTGCTCTGCTAGTAGTAGTGATAAACTTTCTTCCTTGCAGATTCGTGATGCTATGAGATTTGTTGAGGTGGTTTTGAATGAACCCGAAAAAGATGTGGTCGCGCTGGCTGACGCACACTTTTTTCCTCCTTATCACCCGGCTCAAGGCTTGCGTACAACTGCGAAGGGATTGCCCCTGATTCCTTTCCAGCTTCCTCCTAGACAAGCAAAACTTACAGTCTACAATGTCGCCAGCAACGAGACGAGCATCTGGATTGTGGAGCTGACGGAAGTTCATGCTTTGACTCGAGGTGGACATCGCAAAGGGAAAGTTATCTCGTGTGAAACATTGACCGATGTTCAGCCGGCTTTTGTAAGAGTTTGCATTTTTGGAAATTTTTTTATCACTGGCTTTCTTTGCTCAGGATGCCGAAGAGTACGCTCTGTGCGAGGCAGCCATTAAGGCTTACAAGCCGTTTGTGGAAGCCGTGAAAAAGAGAGGTATAGAAAACATGGATCTGGTTATGGTTGACCCATGGTATGTATCTTTATGGAGAGTTTGACAATGTAATAAACGTGATTCATTGTAGGTGTGTCGGGTACTTTGGCGAACGGGATGCTCCAAGCAAAAGGCTTGCAAAGCCACTGATATTTTGCAGAACCGAGAGCGACTGTCCGATAGAGAATGGGTATGCGCGACCGCTCGAAGGCATACACATTCTTGTGGACCTCCAACACATGAGAATTCTCGAGTTTGAGGACCTCGAGTTCGTTCCTTTGCCTCCGCCGGATCCGCTGAGGAACTACACGCCGTCACATATTCGAGGGGGGCTCAGAAGTGACTTGAAGCCGCTAAAGATCATGCAACCAGATGGTCCGAGCTTTCGTGTTGATGGATACCACGTTGAGTGGCAGAAGGTATGTGTGAAACTTATCTTATTCCACTGTGACAGTCTTTGTTTATTGTGCTTTTGGCGTGCAGTGGAACTTTCGCATTGGATTTACTCCGCGAGAAGGACTTGTGATTCATACAGTTGCTTATGATGATGGAAGCAGAGGAAGGAGGTCCGTCGCGTATCGGCTGAGCTTTGTGGAGATGGTTGTTCCGTATGGAGATCCATTAGAGCCGCACTACAGAAAAAACGCATTTGACGCAGGAGAAGACGGACTTGGAAAGAACGCGCACTCACTCAAGCTGGTAAACTTATTATTTGTTTTCTCAGAACCGTATCAAGTTTGATGTTACGTAAAAGGGCTGCGATTGCTTGGGACATATCAAGTACTTCGATGCGTTTTTGACAAACTACCGGGGCAGCGTGGAGAAGATTGAGAATGCGATCTGTATGCACGAAGAAGACTATGGGATTCTTTGGAAGCATCAGGACTGGCGCTCGGGACTCTCTGAAGTTCGACGATCGAGAAGGCTAACTGTGTCTTTCCTTTGCACAGTTGCAAACTACGAATATGGCTTCTACTGGCATTTCTACCAGGTAAGAACTTGTTAATGGAGTGACGGCTTGTTACTCCGTGCTAGTACAGGATGGAAAAATAGAGGCTGAGGTGAAGCTCACGGGGATTCTCAGCCTGGGAGCACTTCGTGCTGGAGAAATCAGGAAATACGGGACTGTTATAGCTCCTGGTTTATATGCTCCAGTTCACCAGCACTTTTTCGTGGCCAGAATGAATATGGCTGTCGACTGCGTCCCTGGAGAACAAGCAAACCAGGTACTTACTTCATTCGATTCATCGCTTGTTGGTTTCTCCCCCGCGATTGTTTTCAGGTTGTGGAAGTTAACGTTCTCTCGGAGAAAGCAGGCTCGGACAATCCTCACAATAACTCGTTCTACCCGACCGAGACTGTGCTAAAGTCTGAGTTACAGGCTCAGCGAGACTGCAACTCTCTCTCCGCTCGCCATTGGATTGTAAGTTCTTCCTGCTGCATCTGGAGAACTAAGTGCTAGTTTGATTCTCATTTTCCAAGGTCCGGAACACCCGAAGTTTCAATAGAATGGGCCAGCTGACGGGCTACAAGCTTGTTCCAGGCTCGAATTGCCTACCCCTCGTAGGCGAGAACGCTATGATGCTCCGACGAGCAAAGTTTCTCCACCACAACCTGTGGGTGACCAGCTACAGCCCCGACGAGCGATATCCCGGCGGAGACTTCCCAAACCAGAATCCTCGAGTTGGAGAGGGGCTGCCTACATGGACGAAGCGCGATAAGAACCTGGAACAGGCCGATATAGTGCTATGGTCAGTGGCTCACTTTGGTTTGATACGATCTTTCATGGTTTTCTCGTGGATTTCCAGGTACACTTTCGGCGTGATCCACGTACCAAGGCTGGAAGACTGGCCTGTGATGCCTGTGGAACATCTTGGATTCTCGCTCGCGGTAAGAAAACCAACTTCTTTGATTAAAACATTCCATTGACAATGTGCTTTGCTTGTTTATTTTTTCATCTAGCCTGTGGGATTCTTCAATTGTAGTCCAGCAATCGATGTTCCTCCAAGTGAGCATCAAGCCAATGCTGCCAAAGAGGATGTTGCTGCTGTTGTGAAACCCGCTGCTGCAACAAGTATGGTAATCTCGAAGCTGTGAATGAAAGTAGCTGTGTTCTATAAGCTTTTAAATCAAAAGATTGCACGAAGGTTAGTTTTACAACAGAGGCAAAAAGAAAATTTCTCACTACACTTGGAGCTCAACCTTTCTGGAAATCTGAAACTTTCTCACTGCTCTAGGAGCTCACCCTTGCTGGAAATCTGGAAACAAACCACAGAGAAAAGTGTTAGAAAACTTCTAAAACAAAATGAGACAACGCACCTGGATCGCCTTGCCAAGATCTCTCACGGCTCAATCTCGCCAAGATAGATTTGCTTGTCACTGCTACACGAGCCGATGATCGGCTGCGTCGGGTGGAACACGGACTCGTTCACAGACCCCGTGTGTCCCGGAAGCTTGTACAAGATCCGGCGGCTGGACGTATCCCAGATGTAGACCATACGGTCCCCGCTCCCGGACGTCACCCTGTTCCCATCCGGCGACCAGCTACACTTGAGCAGATTCTGCTCCACCGTGTGGACGTGCCCAGTGAAAGTCTTCACGCACCGGTTCTGTGGAGCGTAGGGACGAAGATCCCAGATCTTCAGCGTCGAGTCCATCGAGTTCGTGAGCAAGAACGATCCATCCGGGCTGAGCTCCATCCCTGTGATCGTATCAAGGTGTCCCTGGAGATGCATCACCACCTCGTTCTTGCGAAGATCCCAGACTTTCACTTCGTTGTCGATCCCTCCGGAGAAAACCTTGTCCGCCGCCTCGGAGAAGCCCACTGCCGTGACTTGGTACTTGTCTGGGAGCGTCTGGATGCAGCCCCGGCGGCGGAGGTCCCAGAGCTTGGCGGTGCCATCGTCGGAGCCGCTGACGAGCAAAGGCGGGCCTTTCTTCACCGGGCAACACGCATTGACGAAGGAGGAGTGCTCGGCCATCTTCTTGATCTGGCGCCCGGTGTCCGCGTCCCAGGCCCTCACCGTCTTGTCCGGGCTCGCGGACACGATCTGGCCGCCGTCGAGCATCCAATGCACGTCTAGCACGCCGTTCCGGTGGCCCTTGAGCACCATGAAATTCTCGCAGGGGCCGGTGACGCGCCAGAGGAAAATATCCTTGTCGAAGCTCCCCGACGCGATCACGTCGCCGCGCGGGTGGAATTTCATGGTGTAAATCGCCCCGGCGTGGCCGCTGAGCAGCATCGTCGGCGATTCGAGGCTGGAAGTGCGGCGGACGCCATTGAAGTGCCGGATCTGCTTGCCGTCGCTGCCGCTTACCTCCTCTAGCTCTGTTCTAGCGCGCTTGGCGGGGACAATGGCGCCATCTTCCTCCGGGCGCTTCATCGCCGAGCTGCCCAAAATCCCTAGCGCGAAGAGCCCTAAAAAATAACGAAAAACCCTAAAATCTTTACCGGTTTGATAATAGCTTTAAAAACGGTTCCACTTTTTCCCATTTCACTGCGAAGTCTGTACGTGTTGACACGTGGCGACGCCTGGCCGTCGGATGTGGCATCACATCGTATGTCTGACACGTAGACGCATCCAACGGAGGAGATTTGTTCGTTTGATTGGAGCTTCTTAAGCTCCAATGCCATCGGTTTTCTTGTGTGATCGAGGCGGCAATCCCTTGGGGCGCGCGGCATCGATGCGGGTGGAGCGATGGCGGCATCGCGGTGAGGAATTTGGCGCCGCGATCGAGATCTCATGGTATAGGTTTTGTCGGTTCCCAGCTCTAATCTTCTCACGAGCGGAATTCCATGCGTCGGCGATCCAGACAAGATGATGAGATCCTTCTCGCTGTACAAGCGGCCGTCGCGAGAGCTTCCTTCGATGGATGGAATCGTTGCAACGAATGCAGGTCAGAGAATTTGCTTTCCCAAGATTTGCGCGCGCTTGAGAGATTATCGGCATGGTTTTGATCCAGATCAAGAGCAGGCAAACCAGCCAGTTCCATGGCATTTGTCGCTGCCACACATCTGCGTTGCGCTCATCATCTCGGCCTTGTTTGGCTATCACATTGGGTAGGGAAAGCTTTCTTCTTTCTTGACTCTCTTTTCATTTATCTTCTTCGTGGCTTCTCATCCCAGGGTCGTGAACATCCCTCTACCTTACATTTCCAGAGATCTTGGCTTTGGTGAAAACTCTCTCGCTCAAGGTGTGTAGTAGTGGTTCTTTCTTCTTTGTATTGTAGCTAGCTAGAATTTTTTATGTTGGAACGAGTACTTGTGTGCAAAGTTGTCTCAGTTGGAATGCCTGGAGCTCGCAGGCTTTGTTGTGAGTGTATGCTTGATAGGCGCTTTTGCTGGATGTGCAATCAGCGGCACTGTGGCGGATCGTCTCGGGCGCCGGAGAGCTTTTCAACTGTGCGCTATTCCCATGGTGCTCGGTCCAATTCTCAGGTACGTGAAAGAAAGCTCGCGAATTTTTCATATAGCTTTGTGAACTTTACAGTGCAAAGGCATGGAATCTCGCGTCTATGCTTGTTGGTCGGCTGCTCGTTGGATGCGGTCTAGGCATTGGTGCTCCAGTTCTCGCGCTCTATGTCTCGGAGGTAAGCTTGTTTGCCAGGCCAACTATGAGTGACGTTTGCTTGTTTTGCTCAGGTTTCGCCAACTCAAGTCCGAGGGTCTTTTGGAAGCTTTCCTCAGACTGCTACATGTATTGGTCTCCTTGCAGCTCTTATAGTTGGTCTTCCCATAAGCTCCACCCCGGACTGGTAACAAGCTTTAGCCGAATTTATTTTGTTAAACCAGCTCGCTTCTTTCTTTCAGGTGGAGAGCGTGCTTCTGGATCTCTACGCTTCCCGCTGCCTTACTGCTACTAGGAATGGAGTTCTGTGCCGAAAGTCCGAGGTGGCTGTTTAAGGTGAGTTTACTCGATTCTTCCTTGTCTATTCTGTACCAACTAAACCTCTCCAGAATTCTCGCTGGTATGAAGCAGAGCACGAACTTGAACGGCTGTGGGGAGCAGCTCACGCTAAGGCAGCAATGTCGGAGCTTGTCCAGAGCGAACAATCAGATGATTTAGAGATGATTGCTCCGTGGAAAGAGTTGCTGGATAGGCGTTACGTGAGAGGTACATGACTTATTGTTTGCATGACAGTGGTTTACATGACCATGTTTGAACTTCAGCTGTTTTGCTGGGAGGAGGATTGTTTGCTTTGCAGCAGTTCTCTGGTATCAACGCCATTTTCTACTTTTCTTCGACCGTGCTGAAGAGTGCTGGAGTCTCTTCGGATCTGGCTGCCACGGTCTCCGTTGGAGCAGTCAATCTAGTTGGTATGGTTTTCACTTTCTAGTAGCAGAAAACTGACTTTGATATTTCATCTTCAGGGTCCTTTGTAGCAGCAGGTTTGATGGACAGGCTAGGACGCCGCAAACTCATGATGTGGAGCTTCACTGGAATGGTCTGGGCTCACTTTTTTCGTGTCAGTATTGACTAAGGCTTTGTTTTTCTTTCTCAGGCTGTCTCGATGGCAATGCAAGCAGCAGTAGCAGCTTTTGGTTTCTTAAAACCAATTCGTGCTACGACGACTTTGATAGGAACTCTCTTGTAAGCGCACTCATCACTTTGGTTTTTACGTGACACTGACTTGTGAATCGAATCCATGCAGCTATGTTTTCTCCTTCGCTTCTGGAGCGGGTCCAGTTCCAGCGCTGCTACTACCGGAGATCATTCCCATTCGCATAAGAGGCAAAGCAATGGCTTTCGCGATGTGCGTTCACTGGGTAAGCACAAAGCGTGTGTGATCTTCTTTAGCTTACTTCTGTCATGGTTTGTGATTCCAGGTAGCGCATTTTTTCGTGGGATTGCTCTTTCTCCCGCTGATCAACGCTACTGGAGCATCGGTTCTCTACACGTTCTTCTCAGTGGTTTGCTTCTTCGCGGCGATTTTCGTGAAGAGAAACGTCGTGGAGACGAAAGGACGCTCGCTAGAGGACCTCGAGATGCTGCTCGTTGCCGGGCACTAAGACGTGATTAGATTAGTGATAAACAATCCTGTTTAGATGCTAAGCATGGCACCGAACGCTTGCTACTATTTCAAGGAAGCTCCACGAGGCAGTTTTTTGAAAGACACGGGCTAGGGTTTTTTATTTCGCTCAGCGATTGATAGCGCGCGAGCGAGGCGAGAGATTTCTTCCATGGCGGTGTCGGATGGATCGAAGCTCCGGTCGGCCGAGCTCATGGATCAAATGGCGAAGCATTTGGAGACGGGAGCCGGCGAGGAGCTCAAGAAGAAGATTGGATTGGTCTATCAGATCAATGTGTCGCCCAAGGTGAGTGATCGATTGCGATTTTAGTGCTCCATTGACGGTCGTCGCTCTCGATTTCTTGATTCGAGCGTAGAAAATCGGGATCGACGAGGAGAGCTACGTTGTGGATTTGAAAAATGCGAAGGTTAGCAAAGGTATGTATGGATTTTGCCTAGCTCTTTTTTATTTCTTTTTTTCAAGGATAGCTACATGGATTTTATCACAGGTCCGTGTGAGGAGAAACCGGACGCTACGTTTTCGTTTGTGGATGGGGATTTTATGGCCGTGGCTATGGGGAAAATGAATCCTCAAATGGCATTTATCAGGTAAGTTGTCCTCTTAGTTTTTCTTTCGTGTTCGAACTTTTGTTTCTATTTCATCCCGCAGAGGTAAAATGAAGATCAAGGGAAGTATGAGCGCAGCTCAAAAGTTTACTCCAGAGATATTTCCTAAACCTTCGAAGCTATGAACTTTAGAACTTGTTCAATAAAACAGCGCCTTTACTCTCGCTTTCGCGAAGAACTGAGTTTGTGAGGCCTTCTACACGGAACTTTGAAGTAAGTTTTCCTCCCTTTTATCATTCTCTACTTCGCTAACACTTTTCGTTTATGCAGATGGAGTTCCTACACGGATTGTAAACCTGTACGGTCTGGTCTAGCTGGTGGAATGAAATATTTTCTGGACGCAACGGTAGGGTTCTAGGGTTCTTCGCATGGTGAGGTTGTTTCTCTTGCGTTTTTTCCTCGTTGTGTGCGGTTTCTTTGAGTGACCATGGAGAAGTTCGATGAAGTCGAGAAATGTATCCCACTGCCGAGGTTGTGCGGGCAATTGCGACTGTGGGAGCTCCCCGAGCACTTCGTTTTCCGGCCACTCGATGGACGTCCATTGCTGTCAATAAACCGGTTGACGGGAACGCCGTCTTTGATTAGTAAGGGACTTCGGAACTTTCCTTGTTCAAGCTGATCTTGTTTTTTTTTTATTTTAATTTTCAGATGAGATACCTCTTTCGACAAATCAGACATCTGTGCAAACTATGATAGTCTATGGTGTTGCTGGAGCTATCAAACTTTTGGCAGGTTTAAATTTTTTTCTTCTCGTGCGTGCCATGACAACGATTGCAGGGCTCTATATTCTTGTTATAACTGGAAGAGAGTGCGTTGGACAATCTCGAGGCCATCCAGTTTTTAGAGCATCGTCCTTACGATTCCTACACTGTGTCGTCCGTGACGATCTCAGTTTCCAGGAAGTAAGTTTTACCTCCTTGTTTTGAAGACCATAGGAAACTTATAATATTCAGGAGTAGTGAGCCCTGTTAAAAGGTTTTTCGATCTGCTAGCAGAAGAAGGATGAGTATCAGTACTTGCGTCTTCTAAAAATTGCCGAGACCACGCCGGGCCTCTACTTCTCTTATGAAGTCGATCTAACACGGAAGTAAGCTATTTTTCTTTGACGTAGAGAACATAACGTAGTACACAACGCTACGCAGTACTCAGATATCTCATGATCCATCAAAAGTGCAAAGAAGCCAGACGCTCTGGCAGCAGGTGCTTATATGTATTTATGGAAATTGATACTGACATTTTTCTACTCTGTAGGCTGATCCAAAATTCCTGTGGAACCGCGAAATGCTGAAGTTTCTGACGGAGGCCAATGTAAGAGCAATTTCCTCTATTTCCCCGCGATGCTTACTCACAGTTTGTCTTAATGCAGTTAGAATCCTACAGTTTACCATTGATACAAGGAAATATCCTTTGAGACAAGTACATATTGCATGACATTGTTCCTTGACGATAAACCACGCTTTCAGTCTAAACAGATCCTGGTAAACGATAGATTTATTACTCTTTCTCTGATTTCAAGGCGAGCTGTAGATCGCATTGGTGAGCTATTCATTACTTTTGTTCTTTTCCTGATAAATGAGCTTCAGGCACTCGGATGTGGAGACGAGGCGCCGACCTTCAAGGGAATGTTGCAAATTTTGTTGAAACCGAGCAAATGCTAGAACTAGATGGCTATCTAGCATCCTACGTACTGGTATACGATATTTTATTGTTCCTGTGTTTTTTTTTTTCTCACTCGGGATGTTTTTTGCAGGTCAGGGGCTCAATCCCTCTACTCTGGGAACAAATCGTGGATCTTACTTACAAACCTGTACTTAGCACTGTCTATCCATCCCAAACGGTACAGCTAAAACTTTGATAAACTTATTCGCTTTGGTGCCTCAGCCTAAGGTGGTCGAGCGACACTTTCAAGATCTCTGTGAGAAGTATGGATCTGTTTTGGCTGTTGATCTTATTAATCAGGTAACTAGTCGAATTCCTTCGCACGAAGCAACTCCCTGATTTCATTTTCGTCCCTTATTTCGTCCCCTTTCATTTTCGTCTCGTAGCAAGGATTGGAAGGAGTGCTGAGCGTGGCATACAAAAATGCAATGATCAAACTGGAAAACGAGAAATTGAAGTATGTATGTTTGCGCAGGATATATGTTCAGATGATTCAGCTGAAACTTTCAGATATGTGCCGTTTGACTTCCATCGTGTCTGCGGTCAAATCCACTTCGATAAACTGTCTACTCTTCATGATCAAATAGCAGAACAACTGATGCAGCAAGGGTATAAAAACGATTATTGCTCATACCATTTCAAATATAAGAATATTGTCCAGGTTTTATCTAGTTAATAGTGAACGTAAAGTTGTGCAAGCCCAGAATGGAGTTGTGAGGACAAATTGTATCGACTGTTTGGATCGTGTGAACGTAACACAGGCAAGTTCTTAATGTTCCGATGAAGCTCAAGTAGAAAATGTGGTCTTCTATCGTTTCAGAGCTTGATAGCAAGAAGAGCGTTGGAAGCGCAACTGCAAAAGATCGGGTTTTTCAAGCTGCAAGAAAAAATCGATCATCATCCTTGCCTTGAGAAGCACTTCAACCATTGTAATAATCTTTCCTTTCTTTGTTTCCTCCTTGTCTAATCCCTTTCACGTGAAACAGTATGGGCCGATCACGGTGATGCAGTACACGGGAACACCAGCTCTAAAAGGAGACTTTGTCCGGTGAATCGCCACTGTGAAAGATTGTTTTCTTTTACTTTCTCGTGTGCTAGATCGCTAACTTTTGGACGCTGGCTTTTGTAGACACGGAAGGCGGACAATTTCGGGCTTTATACAAGACGGAATCAGCGCTCTGACCCGCTACTACCTCAACAATTTCAAGGACGGTGCTCGACAGGTACAAAGCCTCAATTTTCTTCCAGCTTCCTTGTTGCTTCCTTTTTTCTTCCAGGACGCGATGGACCTTGTCGCTGGACACTATGTTGTTACGCGTGGAAAGCCGTCTCCTTTCCCCTTTGGGCTGCACGAAGCGATCACAGTTAAGGACCACTGTTTTGCTTGTTGGTCTTGTACTGAGAGTTTCGCGTCGCTTTTGCGCTTGCAGTGCATGCCGCTTGCCACAAGTTTGATACTACTGTTTTTCGTGTGCTCGGCTTTATCCCTGAGAAGAGGTAAAAGTGCTTCCACTTGTTTGCCGCCGCCTCAGATTGTGTCGCTTCGATCTGCAGTGGAGAAAGATCCAGGCCAGCTCTTCAACGCTGTTGTGTGGGCGACACTCACCGCTAGCATCGTGTCGGCTGTCAGATTAAATGGTCGCCAGTTTTGCTCGAGACCACGCCTGTGCAAGCTCATCTCCTAGCACGAGCTCTAAGAAAAATGGTTGGAACTTTAGATAGTGCCCCAGAGCTCAAGAAATCAAAGAAGAAATCAAAGAAAAATAAAGGATAACTCTCATCTAAAGATTATCTCGTAGAAAAAAAAATGAATGGCTGGAATTTTAGATAATGCTCCAGAGCACAAGAAATGAAAGAAGAAAAGAAAAAAGAGAACTTTCGCATGTTTTAAATCTTGTGGTGCCCAACTTTCGCAAAAGCTTGTGATGCCCAACTAAGAAGCATCAGGACCTCGAGAAGAGGAGCAATGCTAGATCTAAAAACTAAAAGAAACAGTTTGGAACTTCAGATAGTGCTCCAGAGCTCAAGAATAAATCAAAGAAGAAAATCAAAGAAAGAAATCACTTTCACTTTTGCCACGTCACGTGCCACGCCAGCATCACTATATTTCCGCGAATATGCTCCCCTAGGGCTCTTATTCGCTCGCGAAGAGAGAAGAGAGAGAGAGGGAGAGAGAAAGAGAGAGAAAAAGAAGAAAAGAGGGGGAGAGAAGGGAGGGACGAGCACCATACCATGGCTGTGGAGCTCCAGATCCAAAGCACTAGTAGCAGCGCTCGCCGCCTCCCCGATTTCCTCCAGGGCGTCAATCTCAAGTACGTGAAGCTGGGCTACCACTACCTCATCACTCACCTCCTCACTCTCCTCCTCGTCCCGCTCCTCCTCGCCGTCCTCCTCGAGGCCACTCGCCTCGGCCCCGACCAGATCCTCCACCTCTGCCGCCACCTCCAGCTCAATCTCCTCAGCGTCCTCCTCTGCTCCGCATTGCTCGTCTTCGCCGCCACCGCCTACGCCATCTCCCGCCCCCGCCCCGTCTTCCTCCTCGACTTCTCCTGCTACCTCCCGCCCCCCCACCTCGAGGTCAAGTTCCAGCGCTTCATGGAGCACTCGCGCCTCTCGGGCCACTTCGACGATCGCAGCCTCGACTTCCAGCGCAAGATCCTCTCGCGCGCCGGGCTGGGCGAGGAGACGTACCTCCCGGCGGCGCTGCACGAGCTCCCCTCGCGCGCGTGTATGGCCACTGCCCGCCTCGAGGCCGAGGAGGTGATGTTTGGAGCCGTGGACGAGCTCCTCCAGCGCACCGGGATCCGGCCCAAGGACATCGGCGTGCTCGTCGTCAATTGCAGCCTCTTCAATCCCACGCCTTCCCTGTCAGCCATGATCATCAATCGCTACAAGATGCGAGGGAACATCAAGAGCTACAACCTCGGCGGGATGGGCTGTAGCGCCGGCGTCATCGCTGTGGATCTGGCCAGGGACATCCTCCAGGTGGAGCGGAGAACGTACGCGCTGGTGGTGAGCACCGAGAACATCACCCAGAACTGGTACTCCGGCAACCAGCGCAGCATGCTCATCCCGAACTGCCTCTTCCGGATGGGTGGCGCCGCGCTGCTGCTCACGAATCGCCGCGCCAAGAGGCACCGAGCGAAGTACGAGCTCGTCCACACTGTAAGAACGCACAAGGGAGCCGACGATAAGTGCTATGGATGTGTTTACCAGGAGCAAGATGGCGATGGAAAGATGGGAGTCTCGCTGTCCAAGGAGCTCATGGCCATCGCCGGGGACGCTCTCAAGACCAACATCACGACGCTGGGCCCGCTGGTACTGCCGCTGTCCGAGCAGATCATCTTCTTCGTGGTGCTCGTCCTGCGGAAGCTCACCAAGCGTAAGAACCGGTTCAAGACTTACATACCCGACTTCAAGCTGGCGTTCGAGCACTTTTGCATCCACGCCGGCGGCCGGGCCGTGATCGACGAGCTGGAGAAGAACCTGCAGCTGACGGAGCGTCATGTGGAGGCGTCGAGGATGACGCTGCACAGATTTGGAAACACGTCGTCGTCGTCGATATGGTACGAGCTGGCGTACCTCGAGGCGAAAGGCCGGGTGAAGCGGGGCGACCGGGTGTGGCAGATTGCGTTTGGGAGTGGGTTCAAGTGTAACAGCGCCGTGTGGAGGGCGTTGCGGAGCATCAAGCCGCCGAGCCACGGGCCGTGGGAGGACTGCATTGACAAATACCCGGTACGCATTCCAGACGCTGTCGAAATTTGAGTCCCTGGAACAACAGACACTCACGTATAAGTATACATAAACTTTGATCTCTTCTTACTCTGCTCTTGTACCACCACCAGCTTTTTACGAGCGATTTTTGAATGAAACCAACCATTCGTTTGATCTGTCGTTCTTGACTGCGTCCAGGCATCTCATCTCAGTACGAATCCAGCTGTGCAATTGATAGATATGTTCTATCTGTTTGCCTTAAATTCCAATTCTCTGAAATAAAAGTCAGAAATCTTCTCCTGTATTGTAGAGTACCTCCAAATCGCTACTTGGAGGGGTCCCAAAAGTCTGCTGCTTGTAGGCCCAGATTCTCGGGGAGACTAACACGCTTGAAACTCTGGAACAAATTTCAAAGCGAAACTGTTGGAACAAACATCGGTAGATTATTGTGTACTGGTGTTCAGACTTTTTGCCCATCCTTACTCATCATCTTCATCCATTCGAGATGTAAGACAGGCCGGAAACTTGAAAACTTGTTCACCGCTCCTCATAGATGAGTGGACTATACTGAGGTGACCACATGTATTGGTCAACGTACTCGCGGATTTGATCCTGGTGATACCAAAGTTAGCCGGTTCAGTTGGCACTCAAAAGAGAATGCACTTACCTCAGACATTTGCTGAAGCTCTCTCGCGGACAGATCTCTGTAACCTTCGACAATGTCTTCTTCAACTGCAGCACGAAGCACAGCGACCGCGACTTCCTTGGATATGTCGCGAATGCTATCGATACAAGCAAGTAAAATGAGCACACCTGGAGAAGAATACAAAAGCAGTTAACCTTGAAATTGGTGGATAGATCTTTCCGTTGCTCACGTCCTCCTCACCCATGTAAGACGCTAACCTGATGAACAGAACAACGTCAAAATCGACAAATGTTTGATTACCGATGGAACTCACCTTGCTGCGGCGGAGCTTAACATTCGATCTGTAACTGTTCTTGCTCCACAGAGGAGCGTGCCGAGTCCAATTCTAATAGAAAACAGCGGTTTTAAACGCGTTGAAAACCACATGAAGAATTTACACACCCTGGGAAAAGGTACATATTGTTGCCTTGATTTACATGACCGATTTTCCCATTCTCTGCACGGAGATGGTTATTGAGAAATTCAGTAAAACACAAGATTACCAAGTTTCACGTCATCAAAAGGACTTCCACTTGCAAAGATAATGTGATCTCCCACATGCTTAAATGCTTCTTCTGCTGTGCATTCAGCTGAAAAAATGGAAAGCTTACTTAGCATGCGTGTCGCCGGAGTAATAACAACTTACCGTTCATTGTAGGATTGGACATTGGAAAAATTGCAGGTCTTTTGTAATCTGCATTTTTCATTTCTCGCAAAACCTGTGGAAGAAACACATTTACTTAGAAGTCTTTTGAATGGCGATTTACCTCCGGGGTGAAAATACCTCCAACTCCAGACAAGCCAACAAGCATATCTGGCTTAACCTGTTTTACCTGTATAAGATGTGTAAGCATACAAAGAGCGATGTTCCTGAGCCCCAACGTACCACTTCCAAAAGACTTGCACCTTCTCTCAAGCCTTCATTTGTATTTCGAGCAAATGGTTTTGCATCTGGATCAACGTCAGCATCAGCGCGTTCTTTTGTTACCAAACCCTGCCCCATCACAGAGTACGTAAAACCAGCTCAAACTTTTAAAACCGCACCGACCAGTTTGTCTAAAATGTACAAGTTTCGGGTAGCCTTGGACTTATCCCCAAGGATTTGTCCAATTGCCTTCCTTGTCATGTGAAGAACGCCTAGTCCGGCACTGCAGTCACAAGAAAAGGAAACGTTTTAGAATATGAAATAAATATATACATAGCACAGATTTTAACCTCCCAGCTCCAACGACGACAATTTTTGCATTAGCAAGTTCAGACAGTGGCTTTCCTTGAGCTCTCACAGCTCCAAAGAGTCCAGCGAGAGCAACACCAGCGGTACCCTGGGTGAAACATCAAGTTTAGGAGAAAAAATTTCTAGTTTCTTCAACGTACCTGGACATCATCGTTAAACATCCGGTAATGATTTCGATACCGCTGTAAAAGCTTGAAGGCCCATTTGGACTGGAAATCTTCAAACTGCCACCACATACAGCATGATCGCAATAAAAGGATAGAAATACAAAAATATGATTACCTGCACGATTACATGTGGCCAGCGTGTGAAAACACCTTCCATGAACTCGTCGATTACAGCTAAGTAATCTTCTCCTTCGAGCCTAGGCTGTTGCAACCCCAGATCTGTGACAAAGTATGACTTATGTAAGCACGATCACCGAGTAACTAACTTACACAAAGGATCATCTAACAATTTTTTATTGTTTGTCCCGACATCGATCATTACAGGAAGAACCTATAGCACATTACAGAGTGTGAGGACAAAAACTTTAAAAGAGCTACATTGACTTACTCGTTGCGGGTTGAATCCAGCGGCAGCAACATACAAGTCAAGTTTTCCAATTGGAATCCCTATGCCTTGAACGCCAAGGTCACCGAGCCCCAAAATCCGACTTCCATCGGTCACCACAATTATGTCCACCTTTGAAACAAAAATCCCATGCGTCAGTCACGTCCTTCGAGAATTTTTGTCACTTACGTCTTCCGCGGGCCAGTTATAGATCATTGAAACCATCTCACCCCGATCTGCGGAGCTAAAATACATGCCTCGCGGACGTCTGAAAAGACCACTGTAGTTCTGGCACACGAGACCAACTGTAGGAGTGTAAATAATGGGAGCAAAGTTCTTGATGTTGTCAATGAGAATCTTAAGAAAAAGAAAAGAGAAATCCAAAAAAATGAGCTCCTGGTCTTAATGTTGACGATAGAGTGCTTACTTTGTAATACAGAGTTTCGTTGCGGTCATGAAGCCTGTTAAGAATTCTCCACTTCGCCAATGCGGACATATCTCTGGGGCCATCTCTGGTGGTTCTTTCCAAAGACTTAAAATCGCTCACTGGTAAGATAGGACCGCGTAAGAACTTTTCCAAGCTAGTTTGTTCGAAAGATCACTCACTAAAACGGTCAATCTGCTGTTGAGGGGTCATCACACGCGGTGGAAGAAGTCCGCGGAGTCCCAGCCTGTCCCTTTCTGTTGGCGGCAAAGCAGTCCCCTGTACACGCAATGGCGGCTGGTGTGAGAAATCCTCGATTCGCGCCAGACTCCGAGAGAAATCGGTCAGATCGTCACACATTACCTTGTTATACCACGGATCGTGAAGAATGTCAGCTCCGCGCTTGTGAACGATCGTCGGCCTGCCGCTGCTCCGGAAGAGGTGATGCCCATTCGCAATGCCGCGGTGAGATCCCCAGCTCCAAGCGCTCGCGACTAGATCGACCAAGCGCCTCCGCCGAGCGCAAAATATCGCCATTGCCGGCGATACCCTAGAGCTCCCTGCTGTTGGAGGAGCTATTCAAACAAAAATTCTCTCACCAAATGCCACGTGTCAGCTGCCTTAAAATGATCCATTTTTTTACTTTTTTTAACCGGTATGTTTTAGGCTTGTTTTGCCACGTCACTGTCAAGTTTAGGGTTTTGGATTGCCACATCATCGTCCACGTGGAGATGGGGAGCTAGGGTTTATGGTGGAGGGAAAATATTTGGGCTATGGCACAGGAGAATGGCGCCACAGTGCTCGTCAAGGCGTGGGAGCGGCGCCCACGATGGATGCTCAACAACATCTCGCTCAAGGAGAAGAAACCGGTGAGTGAGGCGCTGGATTCTCGCCACAAATCCGAAGAAGAAGAGGAATCACAGCACCGGTCGAGGATTTTCTTTGGGGCAATGAGTTTCGCGAAGAATGTGGCAAATGTGGCCGCTGTGGAGGGGAATCCCCGGTTTGCGCAGCTTCTCACGCATCCCGTGGCGTTCATGCACTTCGTTCCCAGAGATTTGGCCCTCTTTTTCGCTGGAGCGTTGGCTGGAGCTACAGCAAAGTCAGTCACAGCTCCGCTGGATCGAGTCAAGCTTCTTATGCAAGTAAGTACTTGACAGTCAGTCAAAGAGAATAGCGTTCTAATGTCTATTTCTTTGTTTTGTTGAACAGGTACAGGGTTTAAAGGTAGGGGAAGAAGGTGCAAAGAAGGCCACTGGGTTCATAGAGGTAGAGCGCTTTTTTTTTCCTCTTGTAATGTTCTCTCAACTTTGTGATGTTTTTACAGGCCATTGTGAAGATCGGTCAGGACGAAGGCTTGAAAGGCTATTGGAAAGGAAATCTTCCTCAGGTACAATAACTCTTAAATGCATTCTTTTTCATGCGAGGCTTGCATGTTTTTGTTTGTCACAGGTGATACGCGTGATACCATACAGCGCAATGCAGCTTTTTGCATATGAAACTTACAAGGTAAGCTTTCAAAGAGCAGAGGCTTTTGGGACTCTTACATTTTCTCATTGTAGAAATTGTTTAAAGGCACCGACCATGAGCTCTCTGTTCTAGGACGACTAGCTGCGGGAGGATGTGCAGGCATGACTTCCACTCTGGTTGGTGCTGCATTTTGATGGAAGGTCTCTGTGGTCTTCCTTTGATTTCTATTTTCTTATTCTTCTTCTTCCCCCCTTATCGTTGTTTATACAGGTTACATATCCTTTGGACGTTTTGAGGCTGAGGCTAGCAGTTGATCCAGTGGCGAAGTCCATGACCCAGGTTTTATCTTTATTATGAAGTTTTCATATGCTGATTAAAGCTTTCTTTCAGGTCGCTCTGGAAATGCTCCGTGAAGAGGGTCTGGGATCGTTTTACAAGGGACTTGGCCCGTCGCTCATGAGTATTGCGCCTTACATAGCAGTGAACTTTTGCGTCTTCGACTTGTAAGGATCAAACTTTTCTTTTTTCTTCTATTAAATTCTACCATTTTTCTTGTAGGATGAAGAAAACATTGCCGGAGGACTTCCGTAAGAAGCCACAGTCGTCATTTGTGACGGCGATCGCGTCGGCAACTGTTGCGACTTTGTTGTGCTACCCCCTGGACACAGTTCGCAGGCAAATGCAGATGAAAGGAACGCCGTTTGGCAGCGTTCTGGAAGCGTTTCCAGGTGAGTTAATTTCCATCTCTTTGTTTCGACAAGAGTTCTATCTTCTTTGCTTTCCTAGGAATCATTGAGCGAGATGGAGTGCTTGGTCTGTATCGCGGCTTTGTTCCCAATGCACTGAAGAACCTTCCAAACAGCAGGTAAACCAAAGCTGCGATTTTATGATAAATGTTCTCCCTTTTCTTTGCGAGCAGCATCCGCTTGACAACATTTGATGCCGCGAAGAACTTGATCCAAGCTGGGGAAAGCGAATACCAAAAGCTTGTCCAAGAGAAATGTGACAAGAACATAGACTAAAAGAGTCTCAGTCCATCCATTTTTGTACGAGCATTCATTCATTACAAGTGTTTATTTTAGTTCTTATAGTTGCGTAGCAATTCATAAGTCAAGAGTGCTACATTTTGTTAGTGAAGATTTAACTTTAACACTTTTTTGGGGGCATATGCCTTTAGTGCTATTCGATTATTCTTAAAATATTCCATTGATTCAGGAAAATCGATATGTCCAAAAGAACAGCAAAGTTAGCAAAAGAGTTTGCATGCCGTTAGCTACGCAGCTGTATACATGTGGCTATGAAGACAGTAGAATGTCAACGAGCCAAAAAAACCATGAACAAGTCGTCTCATGCTCTCGCATTTGTTATAATCCAAAAGTTCCTGCGAACTTTTATATTGCATATAACAATGTCAGCTGATTTACAAAATCCATTACGTGTCTGCAGCACTTGCAAGCAACGAAACATTGCGATTTGAGCAACTTCACAGATTATTGCAAACCGTTTAAAGTTTTCTCGTTACCGACATGCGCTGCTGGGTTATCATTCGTCCCTGCTTGTTTAATCAGAATGTATGCCTTTTTTTTTTTACTGAGACTGGAGTTGTCTAAGTTGGGTGCCTAAGTTCCAGGCTTTATAAGAGCTGACTTTCGAAACCAGCACTTTTTCCGACTTGTTAATCATAAACAAAGATTCTCCGTGGTATTTAAGGAGAAGTTCTAGACTTCCTGAAGCACACACACTCAAGCACCAGATTTCGCTCGCTTCTTATTGTTTCCTTTCTTCTTCTTCTTCTTCTTCTTCTTTCAATGGCAGCTACTCGTGCATTCGCTTGCTTCATGTTGGCTCTGGTGCTTGTTGCTGGAGTTGCGAATGGGAGCTCACTGACTACGTTTAGCGGACCTGACGACAAAGTTGGGACTCCAGTAGCATGCGGAGTGTGCGTCAATTTGCTCGGCATCTATGGCTACAAGTTCGACTGCGATGGAGTTCATGGCCTGCTCAAGTACACCAAGCCTCTTTGCCCAGTTTCAGTGAACGCTGTTGTTACTCTGAGCTCTGAGCTGCTGTGCCCTCTGCCTGCTGTATTCGCGTATGTTTCAATTCGTTTTGACTGCTAAAATGTTATGAACTGGATGGATGCTGATCCGTCTGATGAGTAAGCTTCATGAATAAATAAAAGCTTCGAGTTTGGTGTTTAGTTTTGTATTGCTGTTGTTGTGTTATTGAAGACTGCTCAGCAAAGCTCATTATCACATTATGGTCGATCTAAAGTGTACAATTATATATTTTCTCACTGGCTGGCTCTCCTTTCCCTTTCAATTTCACCATATGCTTGAGAAAACCTCACGTCCTTGCGAAGTGCTGCATAATATGTTACCTGAGACGATGCCATGTTCCAAGTCACGCACCGCGCTCCATGCTTTACGTTGACTCTCAACGTAGAACGTAATTAGCATCATTTTCGGCCTCAGAAAGCATAGGATGGCAATCATTTTCACTCAAGGATGGTTGCCTGCCTGATTGTGTAGCGGTTCTTGCTGCGCTAGGGCTAGCTCAGACAGTCCAAGATGTAATTTAAAGTAGAAAGAGACGTGGCAGCCAGGTGGTAACTAAAGTATGAGTAATAATGCTTGAGGGGAATTTGTTGAAATCAAGCAATTAAAAGGAAGGTAGTGATGTAACTGCGCCTTCCAAAGGTGAAAAATGAATTTGATCTGGTGGGTAGTGGATCTGAACGGGTATATTAAATGTGATTGTTTGGCCCTCGTTAAGAATGTAAACAATAAATCTCAATGTAACAAGATTCTTTTATTTGCTATAGAATATACTATAAGTCCTATAAATATGAAATGGCCGTTAGATTCCCTAGGTTGAGACCAGGAAACGTCCTTGTACAATGTTGCACATGGTCAATGATGATTGAAGGAAGCTGCCCTTCTTAAAAAGACCCTTGATTCCAGATTCCATTACAAATAATTTTCTATACAGATATCCTTTTAAAAAACATAATGGCTTCTTTTAAAATTTATTTATTTATATTTCATCAAAGAAAATTTATACATTACATCGAAGTTTCTTATTCCAATAAGTAAAACATTTATTTTTTCCGTGATAGGCATTCAGAAACTGTGAGATTAAAATAAAGAGTAAATCCAAATTTTCCAAAGGACAAGGAAATTACTGGAAAAATACCGACCAAGCTTTTGCTTTTACATTCATTCCCAGCTTGTGGTGAGACGTGACTCTTCCAGGAACAATTTGATAACTGAGAGTCAAGATGGTCGTTTCCAAGGTACTGTTAGAGCCCTTCGGGTCTATAGCGATTCTGCTTTGCAGACAGGTGGTGCAGCCATTTCGCTGGACAGCTTGAGAACTTCAATGAGATCCATGGGCTGGATTGGGTCTGCCTGGAACTCGAACTGTTGAGCCAATCGAGCCGTCCAGAGGACGTCCGAATGGAGCGAGACGTGCTCCAGCATGATCCTTGAACAGATATTGTGCAGAGCATGGAGTCTCCATGGATGGTCACACCATACCTCCAATCTTTTTCACCCTGGAAGGATTCTACTTGATCTTCTCCCTCCATACTCAAGCCCAGAATGCAAGTGATCCATCCTCCCCTCCACCACCTTCCTCAAAGCGTCCTTGCAAGCCATTTATTTGCCCACTCTGGGCAAATGCATTTCAAAAAGACCACAACGTCGCTGTTCGAAAGACCGGGTACATGCCACGATCAGGATGTTCCAGGAGAAGTCGCAGAACAGTTTCTTGTGGAACGGGCCCTGTTTGGATCTACTTGATAAGGATGAACAGGCTCTCTTTCATCACAGAGGCTACAAAGGAAAACACACCCGTAACTGCACTAGAGAGCTCTGGAGAATATGCTATGCCAGCATATTCGTATCACTCCCACTCGAGCACTAAGGTGCTCGCTCAAGGATCTCTCTCACGCCAAGTGCTTGCACGTGTCGCTGGAACAAAGCTGGAGGTAACGCCTTAGCCAAAATATCTACAACCTGCTCTGCGGTTCCACAATGGATGAGCTCCAAAACACGTTGGTTCACTTGATCTCAAATATAATGGAACTGCACCTGGGTATGTTTGGTACGCCTATGGTACCTGGGATTCTTGGAGAGTGCGATAGCACCCTGGTTATTGCAAAAGATATCTGTTGGTGCTAGCTGAGAATAGCCAATGCCGTCCAAAAGCTGTCGTAGCCAGCAACATTCCTTAGCTGCTTCAACATACCCTGCTTCGGTCAACAATAACACTACACCATGTGAGAGTGCCGCTAGTCAGCATCTGTGAAGCCAAACAGTCGCATACCTGCTGGGACTTTGGAGTACGTGAGAGCACAATGTCAAGTCCTCTTCAAGTAGCAAAAGATGCGTTTGACTGCTAACCAATGAGGAAATTCTGGAGTCTTTGGTGAAACATGGACGTATGCAACTAGAAATCTCCTATAGAGGAGCAGAAGTGGCAGTTCACGGCCAAGGCCACATGTTAGTGGCAGGCTTGAAACCATAGCAATGAGCAAAAGTGTGTGCAAGAAAAAATGAGACCAAGAACCAAGTTTTGGGTAGTTGATTGATAAGTTTTTTGTATGTTTTTCTCATCAGCTCTTCATGTTCATCATTTAATGACTCAGGTTTAGATTCAAACTTGGATCAACCCCTTGATTGTGAGTAAAAGTGTTAGAAGCATAGATGCTGTAACATGTAATTATGCCACATCCATTATTATATAATTGATATATAGAGAGTTCTTCCTCCCCTTTGTCATTGGCTTCTTGACCAGAAAGTGCCATACTCAAGATCAAAGAGCCATAAAAGCAACAGAGAAATGAGGAAAAACTCTTTGTATATCAACTTTATATAGATGGGTATATATACATAAAAATTATTACCGCATAATTATGCCATATTAGTCTGAGATGATCAACATGAAAAACTGATGAGAAAAGCATACAAAAACTCATCAATCAACTACCCAAAACTTGGTTCTTGGTCTTTGCCTTACTTGCACACAATCTTGCTCATTTCTATAGCTTCAATCTGATCAGTGGCATGTGGTATTGGTCATAAACTTCCAAACTCCCACTTTTGCTACTACCAGGCATTTGAATCTCCATAAGCATTGGAAATTTCTGGTTTAGAGCAATAAAGAGGGAAATTGGGAACACTTTCTGTTAAGATTTTATCCCTTACACCCTAAACCAATTGGTTAAAGGGATGATCATTTGATTGTGGTGCCTAATATTTTCTCCCACTGAAAAAGATAAATCTGGCAGTGTGCAGACCATTGTGTAGACTAAACTGCCAACCATCTATTGGTATGGTATCTGCTTCATCTTCTCACATTCCTCAACTGTTTGTGGGACTTGATCTTTGCTGAGATGGAGGCTGGCTTCCATAGAAGTTGATGCTTCATTCAGCTCAGCAAGATGGAAACCTCTCCAAGATGTCATCAACATACTTCTGCTAAGATAATTGTATGATGCCAGCCTACCTGTCATGTATAATCTCAATCCCCAAACAATATTTCACTGGTTCAAGATCGATCTTAAATCGTGCCTGTAGCTCATGCTTAAGCTGCTGGAAAGCTATGTGAGTGAGTGCACTATCAATAAATGTCATACTTGACTTGCAAAGATAAACATTAGAATCTACTGAAATACTACAAAACTGACGGAGAGTAGATAGCTGTTCATTTTTGCACACCACTGCTGTGGAGTCCATATAAAGCCTTCTTAAGCTTGCACACCTTGGGTTCTTGGCCTTTGACGACATATCCTTCTGGCTGAAGGACATAAACCTCCTCATCAAGATTGTCATAGAGAAATGCTGTGTATATCTGGAACTGTCTCTCAATCTCAGCTTCGTGACAGTATTTGATAAAATCTTTGGAGATGTATTCTTCGCCACCATCACTTTGAAATTTCCTGAGTTTCTTGCCAGTCTGCAACTCTGCTCGAGTTCTAAAAAGCTGGAACTCATTGATCACCTCAGATTTGCAAGCTAGAAACTTCACTGAGATCATCCTGGAATAATCGTCTACAAAGGTTACAAAATACAGCTTCTTCTCTCGAGAAAGTACTGGCATAGTACATGGATGAGCTCTAAAATCTCAGTAGCTCGTAGCAGCACCAGCCTTGAAAGGAAATCTGTGTTGCTTCGTGA